ATATCGTTATTGATGCTGTAAAAATATATGTTAGGCAATATCTGAATTTCTGAAAATCGATGATAACTAAATGGTGGTTCTCTAACAGACATCACAATATGAATATATGCTATTGGTATATCCTCAATCACATAACAGTCATCATGCTATATACAGGGTGTCTGTAAGAGGTCTTCACAAAGACATACCACATATTCCTTGGACCAAAATAAGTCGATTTAAGTAAAATTACCTCAGTACAAAGTTGCATCGTTCGGGCTCCAGAGGGACTTGAAGTTACAATTTTTAAATCGTTTTTTCCCATATAAATTTAAAACAACATATGCGATTTTGCTGAAATTTGGTATTTTGATGAAATATTAGGTGGCAAAAAAATGGTGTTAAAATCTTGTCCGATAATGATACATAGGCGTTGAACTTGATTTTTTAAATAATATCACCTTTAAAAATTCTACGCCAATGGAAGAAAAGGAGTTCGAGTATAAAATTTAGATTGCGCAACTCATTTACTTTAAAAAAGGTACTCCTGATAAGACTCGATTGCTCTCATGGTTTTGACGAAATTTGCATTTTAGTAATTTCAGAACATAAAAAATAATTATTAAAATACAAACTTTGTCAAAACCATGAGAGTAAATCGAGTGTTATCAAGGGTACTTTTATGTAGTAAATCAGAACCCAATCCAAATTTCATACCCAAACTCCTTTTCTGCCATTGGCGTAGAACTTGAGTTTTTGAATAATTGCACCTGTACTGTATGAATATTTCATGATTGAGGCAAAATAAACGAGTGCCTTGCGAAAGTTGCGCACACTGAATCCATCATCCTGGCTTCCAACATAATTGACGTTATAAACGTCAACAATTTTATCGCTAAAAAAACGAGATTGGTTGGTGACGTGTGGGTCAATTCGGTTTCTGTAAATATTGATAGATCAAGTCTGATAAATTTTAGTTAACAAAAAATATCGCTGAAATACAGGAGAATCCGTGAAAATGGTCAATTCTGGTTGGTTCTCGAGAACAAGAGTGTAGACATTTTGTTTACACACTATTGCTTCCTCTGAACCGTTTCAGAGATAGCAACCACAGATATGTATATGTAAATCTGCTTTTGGACGTATGATGATTAATATGAATTTTGATCTGAACGTCAACACTACAGAGTACCCACAGAACAGTGTTAAACTATAAGTAATTCGATCAGTCTCTGCGCACGCCATGACTCTAATCTATACAGGATGTTTACAAAATGTGGAACTGTTGTTGCTAAGATATAGGTTGAACACTAAAAAAGTTGGGTTATAGCTCAGTTGAACATGTTCGTAACGGTAACCGTAATCATGCCAAAAGTTGTTGAGAACATTTTGTATACAGGGTGACATTGAAATACATACAAATATTTCAGACCCTGAGGAAGTTCGACGTATAATGTCGAATGGCGTCAATAAAGAAATATTAGGATCAAAATGAAATATGGGACTCAGATTCTGTAATTAAACGCCTCACTGTCGATTCAATTCTAAAATAATTAAAAGTTGTAGCGCTTTTGTTGGGACACCCTTCATATAAGGAGGGACGAAGTAGGTTATGCAAAGTGGAAGAGGATAATTTATAATTCTCATTCTTTAGTAGCCGCTTGAACATTTCCCACGACAACAAAAACGAAGAGAGCTCACAAAGGCCAAACAGAAAATGCATTATGGATGATATAGCAGGCGCTAATTTTCATCCGAATAAGACAACTTGCAGATTTCCCAGCTAGGGCTATTTAGATCACATTCAGAACAAACTTTCGTCTCTTAATATAGAATGGAATATTGACTTAGAAATACAGATAAGGGACAACAACTAATGAACACGTTCAGATGATTGAAAGATGGTAAATACACAGAGCTATTCGACTATCCACCATTGGTAACTCTGTTATTATTGATCATATTTATTGCTTTATTGTTTATTGAGAAACTGAACTAAACTGAGATCTGAAGAATCTGAAAATTCTGATTCGACTAAATCATAAGAATAGCAACAGGGACTAAACATTCGATGGCAAAGTATCAATTTCATCCATTTCGTGATAAAATCGTGTTTTTTCAATTCAATTTTGAATTTTGAAATATGTCTGCAAGTTCCATATTATGTGGTTATTTACTGAATTCAGCTAGAGCAGCGTTAGTAATTTTTTTTGCCAGCAGCAGAATCAAGATGAAATAAGTTTAATTGTCTCGTGTGATGACCATGGATTTCTGAGTTCCTCATCAAAACAAAATTGGATTTCAGATTATTGTTCATGATATTATATGAAAGTTTGAGATAATCTATTTTATTCAATTCATCCAATGGAAATTTTTCTGTTATCGCATACAGAACATTTGTTGGGATATCAAATGAGAGGCGATACAATACTTCCAGTGATTCCTTATAAAGTGCAGATATTTCACTGAAATAATTTTTTGAACAAGATCCTCAAACGTTTATCATATAGGTGATACGACTGAGTATATGAAAATGAAGTACTATGTTTATGACTTCTTTATCAAGTCTAGGACATCTTCGCAAAGCTCCAATGATTGGAGATATTTTTGTATCAGAACCCCTATAGTCTATCTATATGCTTGCCCCATTTCAATTTTTCATCAATCCACATACCAAGATACTTGATTTGTGTAGTTCTTTTCGATACTATATTTTTAATTTGGAAACTGAGACTAATATTCTGTTTTTTTGTCTGATGGAATATTATATGTATATTTAGTTTTATTGGTATTATAATTGATGAAATGTTTGAATAAAGCTATTTTCAAAATTTTTCAAAATCTTCGTTGATAATGTTTTTTCTACAAACGTCAAAAAATGACAAGGTTCGCGCATTGATAACAAATTGCGAAGTGACACTTCTTTCAGTTTCCTACGTTACCATGATACCTTGCACAAAACAATGCGCGAAGTAAAACAGTTGAAGTACCTACTTTTAGAAATTTGTAGAAAAAATGTTCTTTGCAACTCGAGCGCGAAATACTCGTCATCTCGATTACTTTTCAAACTCGGCTACACATCGTTAAAAAAATCAGATCTCGATCACCAAAGTAGCATTTCGCGCTCTAGATACAAAAATAACTATATGCATATACAAGGTAATTTTGAAATAAGTGCACATATTCAGCACAGTAATATGATACAGTCTAAGGAATATTCCAATGATATCAGATTTTCACTAATTCTTATAATTAACGAGAAATTTCATGCCAAAAATTGAACAAAATACATGCCTACCGCATGAAAATTTGAACAGAGGTGATGTCAGATTTGCTACAGTGTAGAACTTTTGGTGGAAATAGTGGTCTAACCTCAAATTTTATATTGATCCCTAAATTTTCGATAGTGCACGTCGAGCTTTCTCAGTGTTTGAAATATTTGCACTCATTTCAATGCCATCCTGTATAGTAGAATTACCTGACAATCCAATTCCAGAAATAACTTTGAGAACTAGTAGTATTATCAAAGTTATTCGAGTTGGGAGAATGAAAACAACAATGAAGCATCACACTTTCTATAGTACGAAGGGAAGTTTTTCCACATGATAACCACTACCACTGTCTGATATATTTTTTCTTGTCATGTAGAACATTGGGTTCCAGATAAAAAGCCTATGAGGAGTTTTCTTTCCTTTTTTTTTCGTCCGAGCAAAGGAAGCATAAAAACTACAGTGTGATCTTGAGGACGGGGGATAATTATTAGAGATTAAACGACATACCTGTAAGGACTGGTACTGGTACTGGTACTGGTGGGGGACGTTTCCACGTCAGCAACTAGTCCCCAATGGGACCTTTTTGCCAACCCCAAGTGTTTTTCAATGACTGATGTGGTTCGCTCAAGAGAGCTGGCTAACATCCTTTTCAGGCACCGCCCATCAGCTCTCTTTTCAGAGTTTTTCAGCTGTGTTTTGTAGGCTAGTAATGTACTCACTACCATATGCGCAGTGGCAGGCCTGCTAACTATCATCGTTAACCCCCGAGACCGAGGTCTACTTAAGCAGCTGGCCCGCTCTCACGCTCAGCTGGTAGTTTTTTTTCCACACCCACCTACATACACGTAGGCTAGTAATGTACTCACTACCATATGCGCAGTGGCAGGCCTGCTAACTATCATCGTTAACCCCCGAGACCGAGGTCTACTTAAGCAGCTGGCCCGCTCTCACGCTCAGCTGGTAGTTTTCCACACCCACCTACATACACCGTCCTACTTCTTCTCTGATGCTCACAACCACATCATCATATCTTTCTGCGTGTTCTGTGTAGGCTTTGTTACTAACTCCATGCGCCACTTCAGGAGCAGCACTGTTAATTGGAACGCAACAGCGAATCGTGCAGGACTATCCCCAGCCGATGCTCCGAAACTTTACAATATTTAATTCGTAAATAAAATATTGAAAAAAGTTCCTTGCCCGTGCTGGAAATCGGACCCACGACCTTGCGGTCGTGAGACGGACGCTCTTCCACTGCGCCAATCCCGGCTACCTGTAAGGAAGTTCAATCCTCAATAATTATAAGAGACATCACGACTCTGTTTGATTTATTGAAACTTTTATATCAAAAATGACCCGAGCAACTCATTCATTTTCCGCAAGAAAGAGAAATACTGCAGAAACATTATCGAATTATGTTTGTCACAGTGTATATTCATTATCATACTTGAAAATCTTGAAGGGGTGTTTCTCAAGAGAGAGGGTGAGAATATCAGCGGTTGTATTCAGCTCCAACGACCCCTTTAGAATTAAAATGTGAGATATTTCTTTCAATTCTACTTCCTCTGGTTGTTTCGATCTGGCAGGTCTTCTATACTGTGAAACAACATTGTTTTTATCAAAATCGATGTAAAATTTATATTTTATCAAATTACTGAATAAGGTTCACTTTCATGGCAGTTATTTATTCATCACCTATAAAAGGTAACACGTCATTACATCCACGGTCATTATATCCGTGACGCTATATCCGCGACATCATATCCTCGCGACAATATATCCGTGGCGTTATATCCGCGACATTAAATCCGTACATGCTTTCATAGTAGCCCATCGTTTCAATTTAAGTTGTGAATTGTTTCTTATTGTCTGTAGTACCGAGCATATCGTTATTTTTATTTTGTCATTTTTGATAACAATGCCTTTGAAATTCGTACAGTCGCAGTATGGCAATCCAATGTTAATTCATGATGGATATGTTTATACTAAAAAAAGTGAAAATGCTTCTGGCACCATCACGTGGCGGTGTAAACAGTATTCCAAGCATTGCTGTCGTGTTGTGGTTCATACATCTTCTAATAAGAAAACAGGTACCTAATTATTTTGAGAAGTGCCTATATATCTTTCGAACCATTTCCATCGCGTGATATGCTGTGATTCGTGTTTTTTGAAGATTATTTTTGCAATGAAATTGTGGAGGCTGAGTTTGGTCAGGGAGTTTAATTCTGGTCCACTAATAGCATGGCGTCAGCCCACTGTGATCATTTATATAGTGATTTAAGCTTTCAAGAATGTTTTTCCCTCCTTTCGAGCCCCGAAGGAGGGTCTCGTTAATAATAATAAGTTTTTCTATATGAGCGAATGCGCATGCATCCATAATGTATCACGTGACCAATCTGACAATGATTTGGGAATGGTTCGAAAACTTAAGGTTCTCGTGTTTCTGTTTGTTGTTACTTTGCATGTTAGTTCAATTTCGTGCTTTTTTTAATTTAATTAGGATCAATTGTTGGTGACGTTCCTAACCATCATCATTCTGCCGATATTTCTTCTGTCGAGGCTGCCAAAGTCAAGGCAAATTTAAAGAAGCGTGCTAGGAAATGTGACGATCTGCCTAGTGTTTTAGTTGCCAAGTCAGTGAAGAATGTGTCTGATTCTACTGCAGCTAAGATGCCTAATGAACCCGCCTTGAAGATGTTATTTGGAATATAATATTGTTATTATTTATCGCTGTATATATTATTATGTATTGTATAGTGTCACGAATATAATGTCGCGGATATAGTGTCGCGGATATATTGGCATGCGGATATAATGTCGCGGATTTAATGTCGCGGATATTATGCCCGCGGATAATGTGTCGTAGAACTCCTAAAAAATATACAATTGAAATAGTTATTCATGTACCAAGAACAAAAAACTGTCTATTCTCACTGAATTAGTCTACTGTATTGGAAATTTCTCGTTGGACTATGTATATCTGTTTACCTGTCGGGAAACAAACAGTTTATCCTGTGTATTTTGTTGGGAATGTGCCAGATAGTTCTTTATTTTAGCTGAATGAAACACTTAACACTTCCATAGAGACTGGGATCATGACTATTTCGATGTACATTTACTATGAATTGTAGGGAATTACGTGAATCTTAGAATTACTAATCTCAAATCTAAATATATACTGCTAAGTCTGACACGTTAACGATATTTTGCGCAAGGTCTTTAGATATTAAGAGATGCATTTATTGATAGAGAATTCGAGAACAATCATGAGGAAATCAAACCTATAGTATAGAGAATGTATAGTGAAGGTGCTTATAAGCTTGTTTTTTTGAAAACGGGGATGTATATTTCGTTATATGGGTAATATATGCCTTTCGTTTCCCCCAATATGGAGGATATTCTGATATATCTAGCAGAGCAGTATTCGAATTCAGGGATCCAATACATGATAATATTTGAAGAAGTTTTGAACATATATACCTATACTTAGTGCATAGAACTAAACCGTATAGGTATATTTTATCAAATAATTACTTACACTTTGAAACGATATGTTCAATGAATTAAAATCGCTCTCTGAACCGAAAAATAATTTGGTATAGATAGGATATCGCTGGTAATTTCTGGAGAAGTTTTAATGAGGATATAGCAAGTTTGTTGCGGGAACACGCTGTTCTAATGTTGAAGGTGTTTTGAGAATATTTTTGTATTTGATTATTGAACTAGAGTCTCTATGAAATTCCACTTTATTACTAATGAGGCGATCACAATACTATCCAATATTCAGGAATAAGATAATATACAAATATAAAGCATTTTGAAATTTGAAATTTCTTGATTTTTGATGTACAGGGTGATTCACCATAAATGTCCCCCCCTCTAGCTCAGTTATGTTTCAGTCGATCTCAAAATTTGAAGAATCATTTGAAAATATCTCTGATAATTTTCTTTCCACTACATCAGGAATTGAAGGGAGTTTGGAACAAGCGATCTACATGGTACTGGTTTATTTTTTCAAAATGAAATACCCTGTATTTATTTGCATTCTCAGATTTTTTGTGAAGAGCAGATTCCATCAAGGTATCACACGGGAATGATAAAAGAGATATAGGGTGTTCAAAATCAAGATTTTGATTTACTATCTACTGACATTTAATAATTGGAACAGATACAAGGTGATCAGAATTCTGAATCTTGAACCACCCCATATTGTTTCAATAGAATGTCAGTAGATAGTAAATCAAAAGTGAAGATATGACATGTACAGAGATGTTAAAAAGCACATTTGTTTGTTTCCGTGGCATTCTATTGTGTCTTCGGCTATCTAAATGTTATTGGCAATTTTGATTCAATATTGTGAAAGCTAAATAATTGAAAAACGGCTCAGGGGAACATCAGCAAACTATAAATACAAGGTGTTTTTGATATAAGTGCACATATTCAGCACATTAATATGATAAGGAATATTCCCATGATATCAGATTTTTTCTGATTCTTTTACTTTACGAGAAATTTCATTAAATTAATTTAACGAAATACGAGAAAAAAAATCAAGAACGCCCCTTTGAAACAATTCAAATAATGATTAAACTCCACGTGATTGTGACAGAGGTGACGTCAGATTTGCTACAGTTTTTTTATTAGTGCCATTCGATAGTACACGTCGAGCTTTCTCAGTATTTGAAATATTCGCAGTTTACTTTCACTAGAACTGGAAATATACTGGGTGTTTTATTTAGGAAAACTGACTCGTGCTCTTTATTTTTCCATTAGGCGATCCACATTTGTTCTTTCAAGGAGTGCCAAAAGATAGAAGAGACGAAACCCTACAACTTTCACAAGTTTTTTTCAACCTTTCATATTTGACGCTGCTGATATGGGTGAAAATTCAAGAAGACACCCTACCCTGTACATAATCGGTAGAACTCATATGGACCTTCATTAAAATCAGAACATATATTGTACTCTCTGTCGTCCCACGAAATGACGCATTTCCTAACTGATTACTCTAATATCAATTCTTTTCACACACCCCATAAAATCCTCCATATCATCGCCACCACCTCACGCATGCCTCATTTCTAATCACCCCCATTTTCTCTCTTTTGCAGCACCAGTGCTGCCCGCAGGCAGGTCGCGACGACGCCGGCGTTTCGAGCGCCGCCCCTCCGCCATCATCAGCACCATCGAACAGTCACTGCCCCTCCGCCCCCTCCAGCCCGCGCCCCAGGATGACCGTGACCTCGCAGTCGGGCCCCCCCAAGTCCCCGCGGCCCCCCGACGACCTCATCGCCACCGCCACGTCGGCGTTGAGGCGGCTGCACTTTAAAACCGGTCGGAACGCCACCAAAAATTCGTCCAAACAGGTAGAAAATGGGTGTCGACTTTTTAACACGTTGACTTTCGTTCTGTTCTCCATGGTATTTTACGGTCGGGCCACGAGATAATTTCATATGGGACAAACGTTTGATTTTTTTGTCCTTGTTGCGCAAAGGGAGTTCTAGAGAAAAAGAAAGCTTGTGTTTTGTTTGGGCCCGAATAAGGAGGCCCACGTGCAGGGGGTTCACCCGCCCACCAGAAGAAGACGAAGAAGAATCCGTGAAGATGTGTACTGGACATATGGAGTAGAAATAGTGTTGGTGCAGAGTCCATCGTGAGAACCAACGGAAATAAGGAAGGAATTGGTGTTCTTCTTGAATTTTTGAAGGTTATATGCCTCGGGGAACACCTTCCTTGTCGATGTGTTCCAGAGCCTCGCTGTTCGTTGGATGAACAAGTCTTTAGAAAGAGATGTTCTGCAGGTCTCCAAAGTGACCACGAAGGGGTGCGAAGCCTCAACTCGACGGATCAGTGCCTTATAGATCATAAGCAGCTGACTGGAAGTGAAATAGCTCCTGGCCCGGAACAAAGAACCAAGTTTTTGAGATGCACTTTTAGAAATTGATCTCACGTGATTTTCTCAAGGAAGGTTATTGCTGATATTAATACCAAGCATCAAAATGGATGTCTTCGAAGGTTTGGTTACTCCTGACAGGCTTATGTTGGGCACAGTGAGATCGGTTTTTCTAGAGAAATGACACACTTGTGTTTTGTTTGCATTGAAATCTACCAAGTTATTGGATCCCTATTCGAGAATTGTTGCCAAGTTCATATTTATGTTGTCAACATTCCTTCCTTGTTATAGTTTCTGATTCGCCTGGCTGGTATTGGAGTCCTGGAGGTGAAGGCGGTATAGACGTTTAGACCTAATTTGTATACGAACTAAATGTTTGTTCGGATATCTGTGTTCGTCCTACCACTTTTCGTTTACCCTCGTATTTTGGAGTCTCCGAGTTTATGAGTTTTCATGAAAACGGTGTTTTTGGTGTTAAAGCGGTAAACGCCAACATGCCTAAGGCTGTTGTTTATTTCTAACAGAACTTTGTACGGATTGGCTTCATGATAATTATGTGGGAGGAATTCCACCTAGTGGTACACCACACAGCGTACAAATTAATGAATTACGTGTTGCCTAAGTGGTCCCAGAATTCCCTATGTAGGAGAGACCATATAGGTATCTCGCGCACCTCATTTATATCGCAAAAAGTGTGGCAAAAAGTAGTTTTTCAGTTCTCGAAGTTTGGAACCTTGGTCATTGGGTGATCCATCAACATTTATTTCGGATTCATAGTGAGTGCTGTTGGTCAGAAAGTGCAAATACCATTTTACCTGTATTCATTATAGGTTAGTTTTATGATTTTTGTACAGCCTTACAAACTAGTATAATAATTTGCCTCGTGATTTCAGCAAGGGGGTAGTCCTAATATAAGTATTCATTATATAGCTTCTATGTAGATAAATCTTTACCAATCAACCCTGTATATTTCATCATCGCATCGAACATCTATAATAAAATACTCATGAACCGGAACTCCGTAGTTTAACTCCTATTTCAACTTCTGAGATTTACCACGTATTGTAACACAGTCTCATCAGATGATTTTTTTTTTCATTATCAAGGTTGGTAGAATTGATGATTATTTCTAGAGGAAGGATGCCTCGATCAGAAAACGCGTGGTGAAGGGTAGTGAGAATTCGACATTTAATGTTGGGATCATTGAAATGTATGTAAAACTATAGATCACAGCTGGATAGATAATTATACTTGAAGACAGTTGTAGAATATTGATTCCCATGACTCCGAAATGGAATTCTCGATGGAATTACCACTTCCCCACACCGCGTTCATCAATTCTACCAACCTTGGTCATAATATATCTATGTCAAAATCAATGAGATATTCCATTCGAAGTTTCGAAAATGTTAGTTATTTTCTACATAGAAAACAAGCAAAATAAATGTAACTTCTCAACTGTTATCTCCCCCAAGATAATGGTAGAATGATGGAACCACTCGAAATGACTACAGATTTTCACGAAACTTTTCTGTTGATTCCTGGGGTTTTTCAGATTAACATTGACACACTCCGTATATAAATCCGGGATCCGGGTGATATTCGGATCGGAAATATCCATTAAACTCGACCCTTGACAACATCAGGATATCCTAAGTGTTACTCTCATGGCCCGATGCCCTCCACAAAGTTACTTTCACCAGCAATAATTTCAGAATAAATGTGAAAAGGACGGGACTTTTCATAAAGAAGCGGAGTTTCGGTAACGTTATATATAACATTCATTCAACGTTCTCAAGCACGATAGAAGACGCTATTATAAAGAGTGTAAGACTATACAGGGTGATCCATGGTGGATGGCCTATTAGAAGTAGGTATATGGAGAACGAAAAGACGGAACATTCGGAAAATCGGGATGCTTCGATAATTATTGAACATTCTATATCCGTCTAAAATGTTTTCATTGATACAGTGTTGCCACTTCTATCAGAAACAACTAGCGACTTTGTCATTTCAAGTGGAACACCCTGTATTTCAATGCATTTTTATATTCTTCCTGGAGAGCTGATTTCATCAATACATCACAATTGGGGTCGGGATTTTTCAATTTTTGAATTTTTTTGTGTCGAAACTATTCGTTATCGATCAAAACGGCTCAGGTGTCCCTATCTTAACTTTCGATTCACTATCTACTGACATTCAATCGGAACAGATTGGTATTGGTAGGTTGGATGGTGACAGATGCGCTGCGACTCAATTAGATCTATTGTGCCCCATCTGCTCCTGCTATATTTCTATATATCAAAGGATTTCTTGTTCATAGCAGCCCCTCGAGATTCAATTCCTTCAGGAATTTGAGGATTTTGAGGGGGTCTAGCTGTGGTATTTCTTCCACAGTCAGCTGGTGTGTTCCCAGTATGTTCAATCTTTTGTGATGTACAGCGTCACACTCCATCAGTAAGTGATGGGGTGTTTCTGGTTCCTCCTCACAGAATCTGCAGGTGCCGTCCTCCTGTAAGCCTAGCTTCCTTAGGTGTTTTTTGAGTCTGCAATGCCTCGTTAGAAATCTCGTTATTGCTTTGAGACTTCCTTTGCTGAGGTTTGTCAGTGTCTTAGATCTATCGGAACAGATACAGGGTGATCAGAATTCTGAATCTTGAAGCAGATTTGTTATTCATATCGATAAATATTTTGATCCATCACCTTTGAACTCGCCTTCAAATTCATCATGATGAGAGCTTTCAATATATCGCACTATGCAATGTTCAATAATGCTCTGTATTCAAACTATCAGAGAACTTGAAGCCAGCCATCATCGCCATCGTATGATGACCACAAATTAACCGCAAAGTTTTTCCAAACGATAATCACTCTCAAAGAAACCCAGACTCACCGATTCCTCGGAATAATAGTACATTATTATACGCACCTAGGGAATGAAGTGGTATTTTAAATCCCTAGACAAAAAGTTTATAGCCCGACCAACGGCAGGGATTTGAATACACTTGAGTCCCGAGGTGTATATACTATTTTATGCACTTCAGGATAGGTGAAATGTTGAAGGAAAAATAACGAAAAAAAATTCAAATGCTACTAAACGGTAGTTACTCTATTTCTAAAACATCGAAGGGGCTGATTCTTACCATATCAACGACCTCAGTAACTATGGTGATATAGATAATGATTGTAATCGGTAACTGAAAATCTTGGTGTGTTATGACATGGTCTTGTTTATGACAAGTAACTAATCAAAACATAAATAAATAGATATTAGTCAAATACGCCACACCGATTGAAAGACGTTGATGGAACAAATCGAAATAGCAGCTCAAGGAGCTGGAGGCCAATTATTACCAAGGAAACTTAGAGAACAATGTAAAAACCAATTATCGGAGTTTATCGAATAGTGCAAAGAAGGGAACGTAGAAAAATGTACAGAAGGAAAGGTACTGCTAGCATATTTCTTGGAGTAGGCAAAAAAGCTTAAAACATCGTCATTGTGGATCGTATATTCGATGATGAAAGTCACCATTGCAACAGACATTTTGAAAATTCAAAGTACAACTTTTTTCTCCGATAATAGGGAATATAGATACCCTTCAAATCCCTGAAGTGCATACATATTTGAAAACATAAAAGACGGAAGTGGAAAAATAGCAGAAATTCGCAGTTAAAGTTTTGATATACAGATTAGAGACCATCAGTGTTAATAATTTTCGAAACTCAAAAAAAAAATTAGGTAGAATGATACTCATTGAAAAAAGATAAGAAAATAACAAAAATGAAAGGAAAAATGAATTACGGTGGATCTGAGGACGGCAAGTGGAAGGAGGTGAGCTTTTAAGGGTAAAAAAAGGTTGATGAGTCCTATTGAAAAAAGTTGAATGGCAAGGTTGTAGAAGATCTATCACTCTTGTACATACAATTTTTTCACATAACTTCAATATTCTTGTGAAAAATTCAAATAACCAAGTTTTTCATTCTTTATTTTCATCTCTTACAAAGAGATTTTTCCACATTTTGATGTCTCAAACACACACAAAAGTCGATCAGCTTTCTGTTCGTTGAAATATCTACTTTCTGATGGTGTAAAAAATGCATCCATTACTATTGTTAGCGACTAGCAACTAGATGCGCTACTGCTCAGTGGAATGTGCTCAGATCAGAGCCTATGACAGACATGTGTGAAGACTGGCTCATACAGTGTTTGGCAGGCAGCCGAATTAAGAGCAAGTGTAACCCTTGTCCACGTCATTTGTGCTCGTGTTTATTGAATTGTGATCATAAAATAACAACTATGGTAATTGTTTTCAGAAATTGCAAAAAAACGAAACTCATTTCGAGCTATTTATCACCCGTGTGAGAGTGGAGTTTTTTCATTCTCTATTGTCACTCGAAATTAGGGCATCCCATCTTCATCATTATATGTATCTTTTCAGTTGAGTAACCGACAAAAAGTATGACTTGACTCCCATGTATGACTGCCTTCGGACATTTCAGTACACAAGGAAAGACAATGCCAGAGGACGAACGGGGAAATATGGAGACTGTATAGTACCATCCTGCCAGCGATGCTTCGTATAGTGCATGATTTCGAGTGACTTCGGGAATTGAAATGATTCTGCCGCCTGGTGTGTGATGAGAACTCGACCTCCCTGCCGATTGATCGACGGATGACCGATCATTCACCATTGTCACTCGAAATTAGGGCTTTCCATCTTCATCATTATATGTATCTTATCGGTTGAGTAACCGATAAAAATTATGACTTGACTCCCATTTGCATTTTTCACATAGATTTTTAGCATATGTAAAAAAAGTGATGGTATAAAAGTAAGAGATCTTTTCATCACCTACAACTTTGCTTCTAAACTTTTTTTATAGGGCTTGTAGTTGTGCCGGAAATCGAGATGAACCGTTTTTTACCCTTCAAAACTCACCCCCTTCCCGCCCGTAATCTATTTTCCTTTTCATCTTTGTTATATTCTCTTTCTTTTTCAATGGATTTCATCCTACTTTAATTGTTTTCCACTTTTTACCACTTTTTACCATTTTCAAAGGCTTCAGCACTGGTGTGTTATGACTATTTCCGTAACGCAGATTAAACGATTGAATAATATCCTTTTATTTCAGAATCAACCGGTACCAAAGGTGATAGTGATGGGCAGCAGCACTGCATCAGAAAACACGATAAACACAAGTACAGACAGCTCCAACACAATCGTAACGACAGTTACCGCCACAGACGGTGAAGCAACCGAAGACAGCCTGGACTTTCCAGAACTCGATATATTCGCCTCCGAAAACATTCTGGACAATTCCAAGATGCCCAACGCCATACTGGAACCGATACCAGTATCCCCCAAAACTCCCGCAACTGCCAAACAGAGAACTCCTCCCACCGGCAAAAGAACAGACACCAAGTTCACCTTCGAAGTCCACAACTCGAAGAACTCCATGCCAATGGAGGAACTCACTCCCAAAAGAGACGATAGATTCATCTACGACAATGACACCTATTCACAGAAAAGTACCGTAGACTCCTTGATGGAGGAGCAGATAGAAGCATTGAAGCTCGAAGCTAGGAGGAGGAACAGCTACAGGCAGGCGGCGCAAAACCTTGACGTGATTGAGGTTATGAGTGAGGATAGGAACGGTTGCCAGATGAGCCCCAAGGAGCACAGGAGGAGCTTCAAGAAGAAGCTGGAGGTGGATAAGCAGAAAAGGGAGAAGACTTCGCCAAAGAGGAGGGCTGAGAGGGCGATGAATTCGTCACCTGAGGATTCTGATTCGCCGAAACCGAAACATAGGTAAGGTTTTCAACTCCACTGATTTTTAAAAGTTCTTCGGATAGGACTGGTGGATCATTCCACTCAAGTAGTCAGGTAGTGCCGTATATGTCAGCAGAGTGGTTTATTTGTAATACCACTTTGTAGCGTGTAGACGTAGGAGTTTTCACGTGTTGACTATGGATGACAAAGTTCTACTGTGTATGGCGCCACTAGATGGTGACAAAATGACATGATTATTTGTAGGGGTTGGTTGCCTCGATTAGGAAAACGCGGTGAGGGGGTAATTCTTAACAATTTGGAGCATTACTAGTCTCCAATGAAATCGACAAAAATTGCTGTGTAATTACTGGAGCAAGTGCAAAAATACAGGGAAATGGGTGAACACCTATATTCATAGCTCGACACAAAATAGTAAATGGTATCTATAATGAAAACTCATTATAATACACGAATTGTCAGTCCCAAGTAGATGTCCAAATATTTCAACATGGACTGAAACTAGATGATGTTCATATACATTTCATATACTATTGAAAAATTGTGAAGATGACTTTGTTCCCAAATAATATTTTTGCATTTCTCTTTAGGGACAGATTGACCTCCTTATTATTATGGATACTGTGTACAATTGTTGAAACTCATTTTACTGAAAGGCCACAGCCAACTTCATGTATTTCAATGAAATGTAATTTAAGTGCCAATTAATGAACGAATATCAAATTGTGATACATAGTTGGATAGAGATTTCCAAGGCAGATAAGATAGTCTACAGAAATAAACAGGGTGCTTTTTGAAAAAAAAAAGTTGGGTCTACTTTCGTTCACACAGGTGGTTGAAGAAGATTGTCATTGGGTTCAAGGAAAACGTCATCATCGATAATATAACCCTTGTGGATTTGAGATGTTTAGCTCTTCAAATAAAAAAACTACAGCCTGTTACATGTCTCCGGTGTCACACGGTATAGTCAATACCGAAATTCATATTTACGTAGTTTTCCATAGGAAAAGTCAAACATATTTTCTCCAAATATCATGCTCAATTTCAACGATCATCATCGCTTATTTTCGAAATTAAGGATGAGCAACAAACCTATCCATCAAATCTCATTGTCAACCAACCTATCAACTTCATCGAGAACGTTATGCACGATTAAAAATTGGTCATTTCAAAATAAACAACGCCATTCATTTCACGAATTTCCAATGCCTTCTCTACGCAATTGATTATGCTCGTGAAGTTTTCTTGGCAGGCTTCACCCGTGATATCCCTGCTTACGTCAATAAAAACATTTTTACATAATTGCTCCTATGTAAACAACTCAATTTTGGCGTATCTCTCCTATAGTTCTTACTCGGTATTCATCGATTGCTCAACAGTAGATAATTACTGGGAAGAGGATGATCTGATGATGCCTTGTCTCGAATTTTCATCTCAATATATTGCTATCATGTATACTTTTTGATCATTGACATAATATTTCGTAAATATAAACAACAAAGCGATCATAGTATACCATATAACAGGGTGTCCCTTGACTCGATCGCCATGGCTCAACGGCATATTCCTTCAACAATTCTAAATCGTAAGTTTCTTATACACTTGAAACTCAATAGTTGAGGAGTTTTGAGCAATTAACAACTTTGCTCACCAATGGATTTTAAGAGGTGGTCCATATCGTTGGCGACCAAGATCATCTGACCACTATCATTTTTGGGGAGCCATGAAAAGTCTATGGTGTATTCAAATAAACAACAAACTGGAGATGAGCTAATTCAATAAATGAATGACTACAGCTACAACCATAAGAGACGACCCAGATACTCTTCAGAGAGCATCAACGTTTTCAATATTTAGATAAGTCAAAAGGCGTTGTGAAGCAGCAAAGGGGCATATTGAACAAAAACCTCTATAGCCTCCGTGTAAGTGAACAGAAAATCATTAATAGGCTGGTGAACTACAGTTCTCAACACACCAAATGGACCACTCATAATTTGCCTCTATTTCGAAGACCTGTATTTTTTTAAAAAATTGACCGATCTTCATGTGGTTTTCGATATCAGATGTGATGTTTCATCGACTTCAAAGAGAGCTAGAACAATCTGAAAAAGTCCGCAAAACAAAACTCACACAGGGTGTAAAGTGGAACCATTACACTATGGTCTACATTTCCAATGCTGCCAGAACTCGAGAAATTTTTTTCTGATCAAAAGTCAGTCATATTATGATACACTGGGACCTCATCTCGGGAAGTTTTCATGATTTCTCCTTAATTGGCCATTGGAACAAAAATTCGATTTTTTTTCGAAAGTCTTGCATTTCTTGATTTTTTCCTCTAGAACTCCACTTGAGCTGACTATTGGGAAGAACTGTTCTCATGTTTTATGGAGGATAATGAATGACGAAAAAAGCACTTTCTTGGATTATACAGGATGATAAGAAACTAGGACAAAATCTCATTTCAGTGAAAAAAATCAAAAATGGTCACTAAAACTATGGCCCATTCGATCCAGTATATTCAGAAACGGCCTTCTCGATATCCATCATTTATATTAGACTACTTACTCGAGATGTTTTCAAAAATTCGCCCCACAGTAAAAAGTGAAATACAGGATGAAATTTTTCAATTCAAACTTGTTTCCTGATATCGATGATTTTCAATCATTATTGCCCAAGTATGAGAAACAGAGAATTGTTATTCAATATACTGAGTGTTTTACAACTACGATATTACATGAGAAGTCTATCACAAAAAAATTCAATAGATGTGAAACGCGATGGAAAATAAAATTTGTAACACTTTATATCAACTAAAACTATTCGAAAAGGGTGATAAGAAAATAGGACAATACACGGTGGAAATTTTCAATTCAAACTTGTTTCCTGATATCGATGATTCTCATCATTCTATCAACGGATTTCCAATATTAATTGCCCAAGTATGAGACACAGAGCATTGTTGTTCAATATACTGAGTGTTCCACAACTTATCTGACAAATTTCGAACTCTAGAAAACAATAATGTCAGAAGAATGTGGTGACCAGCATTATCTCCAGATCTGAATTTGATTGAACATGTGTGGAGCCGAATGAAACTCGACCTATCGAGAAGGCGAGGCACCCCAAAATAATGACAACCTTATCCAGAATGGGCGGCAATATCAATAGACTTCATCAACAACCTCATAAAATCTATGCCAAACCAATTTCATGTACCAAGTACTGAAATTTAGGATATAGGACCTTCTAGTTGGATCTTCATAATGCTGAAGAATTCAATAATGTCATATTTCGCCAATAGAGCCCTTTTAGAAAAGTTTTAGTAGATATAAAGTGTTACAAATTTTATTTTTCATCTCGTTTTACTTCTATATTTTTTTTGTGATAGACTTCTTATGTAATATCGTAGTTGTGGTTGAAATTTGTTAGATAAGTTGTAGAACACTCAGTACATTGAACAACAATACTCTGTGTCTCATATTTGGGCAATAAATATTGGAAACCATCTTTGAACATTATAGGGATTCCCTTTCGTGCGCTCCAATCGATAAAAGAAAAAAATATCAGGAAACAAGTTTGAATTGGAAATTTTCATCCTGTATTTCATTTAGAGGCGAATTTTCGAAAACATCTCGAGTTAGTAGTCTAATATAAATGATGGATATCGAGAAGGCCGTTTCTGAATATACTGGATCGAATGGGCCATAGTTTTAGTCACCATTTTTGATTTTTTTCACTGAAATGAGATTTTGTCCTAGTTTCTTATCATCCTGTATAATCCAAGAAAGTGCTTTTTCGTCTTTCATTATCCTCCATGGAACATGAGAACAGTTCTTCCCAATAGTCAGCTCAAGTGGAGTTCTAGAGAAAAAAATCAAGAAATGCAAGACTTTCGAAAAAAAATCGAATTTTTGTTCCATAGGCCAATAAGGGAGAAATCACGAAAACGTCCCGAGATGAGGTCCCAGTGTATCATAATATGACTGACTTTTGATCAGAAAAAAATTTCTCGAGTTCTGGCAGCATTGGAAATGTAGACCATAGTGCAATGGTTCCACTTTACACCCTGTGTTAGTTTCGATTTGCGGACTTTTTCAGATTGTTCTAGCTCTCTTTGAAGCCGATGAAACATCACATCTGATATCGAAAACCGCAAGAAGATCGGTAAATTTTTTAAAAAAATACAAGTCTTCGAAATAGAGTCAAATTATGAGTGGTCCATTTGGTGTGTTGAGAACTGTATTTTTTTTTATTTCTTGAATAGAATGATCACTCAAATACCTTTCAATTTTATATTTTTTAAGAATTTTTTTATCGATTTTTAGGTGCTAAAATTACCAATAATGTCACGGTAATTTTCAAACAGCTAGAAATTTCCCGCCAGAAAAAACTGACGTCATGATTTCTTAAGTAGGGGCAGACCATAGCTAAGTTGCCATGTGTTACGATAATACGATTGGGAATTTCAGAAATATTTGTCATTCGAAAATTCATAAATTCTCAATTGAATTTTGGTAATACTGCAAACAAAATTCAATTGTCTTGAAATGTTTCCCTATGATTTGTGGCTTATTGCTTATAATAAATTTGTGTAAATGATAATTATATCAATTCACACTTGAGGACTTCGAATCGGTGAACGTGACAACCACGGCGCACGACTTGTGGGCGTGGTCTTGTCAGTTCTCAGCATCCGGCACAATGTTGCCAAGTCTCCAACATTCACATGATATTTTGTAATGGAGAATAAAAAATATTTGAACATGCTGGTTGCCCGAAAAAGTCAAGGATGAACTATAACATCATTCATTATCTATCATTATTGAGGTACCTTGGAATGTTTCAGACATATTCCGAACGCATTAGAAAATTCCTGAATGAGCAGTAAATTATATGTTTCAATTATTCACAATGAAAGTGATTTCTTAGAGTTTTATTCATCAACTTTCATGTACTTTTGGAATATATCAATTAAATTTGTCTTGAAATGTTTCAGAAATTTTGCCAAGAATGAGAGTCATATTGAAATGTTCCAATCATTCAAAATCAGGTGATTCTGAAATGTTCCTCAGTTGTCTTGAAACTTTGAAGTAATTCGCAATCAGAGTATATTTGAAATGTTCCAGAATCTCAATATATACTATCTCAGATGGCTTTGTTCTGCTATCAATCCTGTTTCCAATCTCAGCTGCGTGACATTTTATACCTTCTCCGTCGATGGAAACATTTTTGCATGCTACATTATTGATTATGTGTAAACAATACAATTCTGGAGTATCATATCCATATTCCTCGTCGTTTCCTGCCATAAAGTAATTGCGTTAGCAGTATCGATTCCCCACAGTTTGTCCACAGAATAATAAAGTCGAGTTCAACGGCTTGGTTTTCTTTCTCTTATATGATAGATTTCAGTTCGAAATATCGTCTCATATCCAGACATGAATCTAGTTAGGAGGGTTTGTTGTTCGGAGGGAAAACCTGATTGTGTACGTCAGTGGCGCGTCGTTTATAGAAGCCGAAGATCGTCAGAAATCAGAATGATCATCTAGACTCTAGACTGAGTCATCAGGGGTAGCCAAACTTTTGACCTGTGAGGTCTACTTGTGTTCAAAAATATTTCTTGCGGTCGGTGCCAAGGAAGAGCTCAGAATCCGCATCTTTCATTACGCTTCACGTTTTTGGGTGAATGTTTGGCATTGCATATTCTCCACAAGTTTATCATATTGGAGTTGGGGAAAGAACTTAACTGCGATGCGTTAAGTACCAAAAATGGGTAAAACAGGAAAACGAAGTCACACATTGAGATACCTTTCTCAGGCATGGAAGCTTTTCTTTGCAAATCAGTTTTCAAAAATCTGTACCATTACTACCATTAGGACTCTTGCTTTCAAAAATATGTCGTTTCCGAGTTCGCTTCTCAATTTAATGATTCCTCCTACACACAAGCATCCCTTTTCTCTGGAAAAGCCGATCTCACTGTGCCAAACATGAGCATGTCAGGAGTAACCATACCTTTGAAGACATCCATTCCTCTGCTTGGTATCACTATCAGCAATAACCTCTCTTGGGAAAATCACGTGAGATCAATATTGCTAAAAGCGCATCCCAAAAACTTGGTTTCCTGTTTCGGGCCAGGAGCTATTTCACTTCCAACCAGTTGCTTATGATCTATAAGGCACAGATCCGACCTGTCCTGGAATACTGTTCCCATATTTGGTGTGCAGCACCCAAACATACCCTGAAACTATTGGATTCTGTTCAAAAGAGGGCAATTCATCTCGTGGGTGATGCCTCGCTCACAAACTCACTCACTTCTCTGGCACCAAGAACTGTGAACTATAAACTAATACAAACATGGATATGACATTGAAAAATATTTCTATTTCGAAGCGAACGTGCAGTAGGTACCTAAAATCATCAGTCCTGATTGCAACCAAATATACTCAAATATCAAAATATAAGTGAAACTGAAACAAAGGAATGCAAAATAGAGAAGACACGTTATATTAGACATTGCTTCGCTCGTCGTACTCCAAACAACGAGTGCGACAAAATAGTGTCTTATAATAATATACTATTTTAACATCATTCGTGTAAAAGTAACAATATTTCTTCTCTTTCCAGGCACAAAAAATCGAGTCGACGCACCCGCTCCCCAAACAAGCCCCGCCCATCGCAGCCGTCCGCCTCCGATAAGTTCACCTACGACGAGCGCTACCTGGCCAAGTACCGCCCCAACCACGCCCCCCACTCCTCCCACCCCCACTCCTCCTCCCATCCCTCCTCCTCCCCCCACTCCTCAGCCTCGTCGCGCATGACGCCGCCGCTGCCCGACCTGAGGGTGGATTTCATCAGCGAAACGTCGCGCGCGTCAGCAGCTGCCGAGCTGGGCGCCGCGACGCTGGCCGTAATGGCGTCTGCGGAGAAGCGGGGCAGCGTTTGTCTCAACAAGTGTCTCAGAGAGGTGGGTATTCTAGGGGTGGGTTTCAATAGATGGAGTTTGAGAAACAAGCTGTATTTCAACATCAAAAAGTGTTTTTCTCTGAATATCACACGGATAAAAGTTACGATCTTATTTTACTAATGATTGAAAATGAGATTCAGACGAGATGTGATCAAGTGAAAGATCTCTGTATTAGCTATGATAGCAACTTTTCTTTTTCTTTACATATTACTAACATATTGAAATTTGCCAACCGTTAGCTGGCATATATCAATGAGGCAATCTAAAATTTTCACAAACATTAATTCCCTCAAATTACTTTACTACAGTCTAATTAAACCTAAATTAGAGTTTGGTGCACACATATGGTTTCCATACTACACTAGAGCAGATAGAGAAGGTACAAATCAAATTTCTTAGATTCATCTATTTCAAGAAATATAATGAATGCGCCGACTATAAAACTGTTCGAACTCAGCAACTGAGGAATGAATTTCAAGTTCTGTCGTATGTATTTCGCTCAGCATGTATAAACTAGGCGATCCTCATATCCATTCTCATTATGCGCAATTATAGAAAACAGCCCTATTTCTTAGATGAAATTGTTATCATTGTAACGGATATAGGTTAGATTCAACTATATTTATTCAACATTCATACATGGAACCTACATCTATAGATAGTACCTTCTAATAACTCATCGATAGGACATTGCACCTAATGAAATTTTTCATTCCTGCAATGAGACTTTTGTAGTCTGTAGGGATGAAACACAATGAAATGAATAAAATAAGTGAATAAATAAATAAATACGTACTTTGTGGAGTGTGTTTACTCATTTGCTCTCGTAATTTGTAGGGTTGTGTATACATTTTATTTGGGACTGTCGTTCATATACTGGAGTTTTTGACGTCGAGCTAATTCTTGTAACTCGACACAAAATAGGTGTGTAAGTTCTACTCCACAGATTTGACAATGTTATTATACAGGGCTAACAAGGATGAAGAGATTTGTTTTGTTTGTCTCAAGTTTGGATAGGTGCATTAAAAACTCATTCATGATAGTTTTTATATCTTCGAAGCATTCAAACTTGGTGGGTACTTCTCAACATCATATTTCAATGTTGAAAAACATCATGAAATCTTCAGAAAGTGAGATATAGAGGGTGTTACAAATTCGTGGCTAGGCATGGGCATCTCGGTAACCATAAGAGATACAGAGTGGGTTGAATCATGGCGAAGATGCACCATTTCACGCTCAACAAAATGCTGGCTCGGATTTGGAAAAACTTCAATTATTCCCGGAGATTTCCGGAAATAACGGAAAAAATGCAAAATCAGTTTCATTTACTACTCATTTCACTTGATTTTTTGGAAATTTCTCTCCTCGTTTCTATAAAATAAAAATATGCGTATTATTTCAATATATTTGTAGTGGGACAAATCAGATGATTTGCCCAAAAATGTCACTGCGTTTAAATCATTTTTTATCAGGGAGCTCAAAAGAAAAATCCAGTAGCTTGTTAGTGACAATATGTTTGGAATTATGTTTGAAGGAATGAAATATTGAAAAAATATCGAATTTTCACTTGGACGTTTCGGGAATGAATCTGCTCCCGTTCTCAACATGAAAATACATCATATTTTTCTTTGAGAGTTGTCCTCTGCTTATAGTTTGACATCTCGCAGTGTCATACTGATGTTGTCATATGAATGAGTGATCTTAGTCTACAATTGAGTTACAGGATATTTTCATTAATTGATCTTGAATCTACCATTTCCATGTACAGTTTTTAGTAGTGAATACCATGTTCTATCTATATCAACTGAACAGGAAGCAATATTTTTGTCTCCGTTCAGAAGAATACGAGCGGATTCCAAAGAGAAATATTTTGCATTTTCATGTTGTGAACGGAAGCAGATTCGATCCCGATACGTCCGAAAAAAAGTAAAAATTCGATATTTTTTCAATATATCTATATTTCTTCCCTTCAAAAATTTCTTCAAACAAAGTGTCACTGACAAGCGACTGGATTTTTCTCTTAGGCTCCCTGATAGACAAATTTGTTGAACGCAGTGACATTTTGGGGCAAATCATTTGTCCCACTACAAATATATTGAAATAATAAGTATATTTTCATTTTATAGATACGAGGAGAGAAAATCCCAAAAAATCAAGCAAAATGAATGTACCACCTCCTCGATTAACCTACAGACAGTATTTGGAATACACTTCGACGAAAATAGTGGTTCATAAAATGACGAAAACTTCCTTGGTAATAGCAAACTACTTCACGTCTCGAAAAACAGTAAATAATGCTAGGTTGTATATCGAGTGGAGGAATAGTATATTGCGTATATCAAGATTCGAATGTTTCGTTTTGCAAGCGTTTGCCAATTCCCGCGAGTTCAACATTTGCAAACGAGAATTCGAATCGCGATATTCACGCTATTTTTTGTATTAGGCAAGCGCAGCAGCGGACCACCGAACCTCATTTCAGAACCCCAATCCTTGCTCATTCTAACCATGAAATAACAACAGAATTGTGTCAGACTTGTGTCGGAATTGTATGAAGGAAATCAGCAAAGAGGAAGTTCTCAAATATGTGCGAAATGGAACCACCGCGGAGAATATTCAAGAAGCTCGGGCTGTGACAGAAGATTTATTGCCCGAAAACGTATTTGTTTGTGTTTCCCTAATCGTAAAAGTGTCAACCAAAGAAACGCCTAAAATGCTTTTGGCTCACAAACAACGCGTTGCGCTAGCCTAATACAAAGAAAGGATTTGAAACTCATGACTTAAAACTGCTGCATAAATCCACCATAACTGTATATACCTATACCTTGCGAAACAAACTTCCTCATGACCTTCCGTTCTGAGTCCGCCCGTGACCTTGACAGGTGGGCGCCCACTTGGAGGCTTCCTGCCCCTCCCCGATCAACGTGACCACCAACCCGCTGCTGGACCAGGTGCAGCCGGGCGGCAGCAGGAAAGCCCCGCAGGCGACGATAGTCGTGCAGCAGCCGTCGTTGAGCGTCGATCACGCGCCGGTCGCCACCGTCCTGCTGAAGAACGGCGCCGATTTCGTGTCGAACGTGCAGCAGGAGAGCAAGAACAAGAGCAAGTTGAAGGAGGAGAACATGAAGCAGCTGCTGGATGTAGCGAACAATTTGACATTGGAGGAGATACATGATTTCGAGATGAGGTGAGTTTTTCTGATGTTTTTCTTGACTCGTCAACAACTAGAGTTCCTAAATGTACCTGACACTCACAATCAGACATAACCACAGATGAATTGATTGATTAATATGGGTTGCGTGCAAGAACTGTCAGCTGTCAGATGACCGACACTGGAGGCAAAATATTGAAACACAATGTCACTTTTCATATTTATTTACAAGTGATCGAAATAGTTTTTCACAATTATTTTGGCATACGAATCGTATTTTTCCGCTATTCATCAATTCGCTCATGCCATCACATTATGCTGTTGTGAAATGCACAAAAACTGCAGCGGATGACGAAGTAATCCGGTTGGTACATTATGATTTATAAGTAAGTACCTACTATAGTCACTCACATATAGTTTTCATTTTTGAAATTTGGTAATTTCTCTGATTTCTCATCGGAATTCCTTCTGCGATAGGAGCTAATAGAAATACACCTGAAATTTCTAAAATAATGCAAGAAGATTGGATTTATGCAATCAATCGGGTGGACTGGTCTGACATGCTGACGATCGTGTGTGTTGTAGACATTTTCAATCAATTAGCAGTATCAGCTTGTATTGCAGAAGTGGCAGAAGGCAGAAGGAATTTTAATAAGGAATGACAACACATTTCATAATGATAACTATGTGAGATTATTATTTACCTGGAAACAAACATATACTTTAGTCTCTTGCTGCATTTTTTGTGCATTGTACAACAGCACAATGCGAAGGCATGCTCGAATTAATGAATAGCGCAAAAAACACGATTCGTATGCCAAAATATTGTGAAAAACTATTTCATTCCTTTGATTCCTTTGTAACCAAATAAAAAAGTGAGGTTGTGTTTCAATAATTCACAAAAGAATGAGGTTGTGTTTCAATATTTTGCCTCCAGGGTCGGTCTTCGTGCACGCGACCTATGGGTTGCGTGCAAGAACTGTCAGATGACCGACACTGGATGCAAAATATTGAAACACAACGTCACTTTACTTATTTGTTCACAAGTGATTGAAATAGTTTTTCACAATTATTTTGGCATACGAATTGTATTTTTTCGCTATTCATCAATTCGCTCATGCCATCACATTATGCTGTTGTGAAATGCACAAAAACTGCAGCGGAAGACGAAGTAATCCGGTTGGTACAATATGATTTAAAAGTGAGTACCTACTATAGTCACTCACATATAGTTTTCATTCTTGAAATTTGGTAATTTCTCTGATTTCTCATCGGAATTCTTTCGGCGATAGAAGCTAATAGAAATACATCTGAAATTTTTAAAATAATGCCAGAAAATTGGATTCATGCAATGAATCGGTAGGACTGGTCTGACATGCTGACGATCGTGTGTGTTGTAGACATTTTCAATCTATTGGCAGCATTAGCTTGTATTGCAGAAGTGGCAGAAGGCAGAAGGAATTTTAATAAGGAATGACAACATTTCATAATGCTAACTATGTGAGATTACTATTCACCTGAAAAATCATATATTCCCTAGTCTCTTGCTGCATTTTTTGTGCATTGTACAACAGCACAATGCGAAGGCATGCTCGAATTAATGAATAGCGCAAAAAACACGATTCGTATGCCAAAATATTGTGAAAAACTATTTCATTCCTTTGATTCCTCTGTAACCAAATAAAAAAGTGAGGTTGTGTTTCAATGATTCACAGAAGAATGAGGTTGTGTTTCAATATTTTGCCTCCAGGGTCGGTCTTCGTGCACGCGACCTATACAAAAAACATCAAAACACACGACACGACAAGATTTACACATAATTCTCAACCACACGATATGTTCCGCTAACACATAAGCATCATCAGGTGAAATATGTACAGGGTGTTTCATAATTGAATGTCAATATTTGGAGAGGCGATTCTTGGGCCCATTCTGAGAAGTAAGTTTTATATGAACGTTTGATCTAAACGTCCTAAGCATACAGTTAGTGTACCACATTTTTTTTGCCACCAGTGCATTGAATGGCATTGGAGTAGTTTCCTCATGACATATAAATAAATCTATTACATTTGACAGTTCTGTGGCAGCTATGCCCCACTTTTTATTTTCAAATGACACCCACTGTATATTATTATCATTGAAAATTGCGTGTCATCCTATAAGGATTACAACGATAGAATGTACTTGGTATTTTTTCATTATTATAACAAAAACAGTAACATTCAATGAAGTATGAATTTCAACTAAAATAGCTTTTATGCGAATCAAAAAATGAACTTAAAATCACAGAGAGTGTTCAAAATTATTATGACATGAGAAGTATCGGCCTCTCGAAACAAAAAACATGAGCTGGGGCAATATTTCATATTTATAAGTAGGATAATTGAGTAACTTGAAACAAGGCACAAAATGTTGATATTTTTGTTATCAATAAAAAAATACAAAGTATGCGTAATTTACAAAAAAAATATACAAGAGTGCCATTTGAAAATACTATGTGTTTTCAATGTCATTAGGAAGGTACTTTAATGCAATTCAATGAAGTTTTTGAATTTTTCAACTATTTCGACAAATAAGCGAAATATTGCCTGAATACGATGACTGGGGACACTCGGTATATGGTGGTCAATTCGAATTTATGTGTTCTCCTTTATTAATAACATAATAACATTCATGAAATCGAACTGTTATACCACTCACTAACCAAACCGATTTTTAATGCACCTCCACACGTGTTTCGCTAAATATGTTGAGCATCTTCAGGAGAAGATCAGAACTGAGTTTGGTTAGGTCAGTGGTTAAACAGTGTGGTGTGAATATCTTGCCAAAAGTCCTGTCTTCGATATATTATTTCATGCACAAAATTCTTAATATACTGATATGAGAAACAAGTTGGAAGTATTATGATGGAGCAGATAGATATGCCAAACTTTGTGTTGAACAATCGATTGTTCTGTAAAACATTATGCCATTTTAATTTCCCAATGAATCAATGTTTCAATATGATGCTATATTTTTGACATCCTCGGTTTACAATACAACACTCCAAATATTTAAACGATGTCTCAGAGTATCTTCGTTGAATTTAAAAAGGGGCGTATATCGGAAAAAGGCGAGAATTGTGTTTTTGGTATAACAAATAGCGCCGGAGTTGATTCATTTGCTCTTGAATTGGCGTATATCAGTTCCTGATAGTTTTGATGTTATGTTGTTTCTTAATTCAGGCGTATATCTGAAATGAGTGAAATATTTCGAAACAAATCGGAGATCGGAGTATTAAAGGTTCGACACAAACTGGTGAATTTAAAATATGGTACTACTCAATATCATCGAATCTTATCATTTCTTCAGTATATTAAGTTTTCATGAGCTTCCATTTGGTAACAAATGCTTGTTACTGGTAGTTTTACCCAATGCAAATATGTGACAACCTATATATTGACTCACAAAATCTAGCTGGACAATTTCATGGCGATAAAATGCATATTCGTTCAATTGTGAAATTTGCGGATTTCAACTTGTAAATTCTTAGTTATCTTATTTACTGAGCAATAGTCTTGACTAAAATATCAAATTCTTATCATAATGGATCTTGGTGGAGTACAAAGATGGAGAACAAAAATTTTGTGGTTTCCAGTGACTGACTTTTGTGTGCAAAAAAGTGGGATGGTGATTTCCTAGGCTCCAAAACTCTTGCCAGAGCACTTGGTGTTCGTTAGTCTGATAAAATGGATCGTTAATCTGATAGCTTGAATTGAAGTGCTATAAATCCGAGGAGGAAACAATTGATATCGGCTCATAGATGTGTTTCCTAGATGTTCATCCATAAGTTCAGGTGTGTTCTGCAAATTCAAAAAATCCATACTCCCTTAAAACACTTGTATCTCCTCTATGAAAGAAGTTTTTGACGTGAATCAGAAACCATTGTGATAATAAGGATTCACACTTCAACTCGATACATGATCAAGCTGAGTTTAATCTCTAACTTTTGCCACAGGGTGTCAGGAGGTTAAGCTTGAAATAGTAACTGGTGTCTTTCCCTGTGAAATAACCGAGTCATCAGCCTATTTTCTAAATCCAAATTCAGGTCAACACTTCAAAACATGAATCTACGATTGGGTCAGAATCTCACCAAAATCGGACATGAAATCAACAAGTTACATCAGGGCGATTAACTTTGCAATTTTTTTTTTGTTGGCCTTTATTTTACCGTCATTCAGAAGGAAGAATACCTAGTATTTTACAAAAATTTTTCCTTATTTTCCTCTCTGAATTATTCGTTCGATATATGCATAAAATTATTCGAGATTTTTGATTCAAGACTGCAACTGAATTGCTTTTTTCATATATTTTCCTCCATAAACTGATTGGGCTTGAATGATCATGATCATTAAATCACATTCACTGAAGGGCGAATTACGTCATTTTTCGAAATTTACCCTCTAAAAATAAAATTTTCATTTATATAAGGATCAGATTCTATATAATACATTCTGAGTGTTCACGATGATTTAATGGAATTGGCTCACTCTTCTTCAGATAGTGACATCATGAACATTCTGTGAACCTCGAATTGCATCTCCTCAGAATTATCGGAAATTCACATACGCCTCTTAGTGAATTCAAAGACGCTATACATTATCTATGATTAGGAATATCTCAAGAAATCAAGGTAACGCATCAAACTCTCTCCAGACTGAAATACGCGGCGCCAATTCGAGGTGTTCCCTGCTTTCCTTCTCTTCCTGGTAGCATTCTATTTTCCTTTTACGTGCCTGAAAGCGTGGTAATTTCTCGTACATGGAATGAATGACACGTGTTTGTCGTTTAGCGTCGAATAGGCGCCGGTCGCCATCGCCCTGCTGAAGATGGCGCCGATATCGTGTCGAATGTACAGCAGGAGACTAGTTCCTGCAAGAATAAGAGAAAAGTGAAGGAGGAGAACATGGAGCAACTGCTAGATGGGATTGTGTAGAGTGTTTCAGGTTTCTGATATTCTCCTGATGTCTACGGCAACTCCGAAAACAATACTCGACACAGTACGCGAACTCGTGAAGGTAATTAAACTTCGCAGATGTTACCCATAACAACGCCCAAGGGCTGCCAAAGCGAACGTTACTTCCGAATTTGACATTCCTTAACTACGACAATACCAAGATTATTAGCAGGGTTGAGACCATGAGTGCTCGAAATACAATATCGATAGTAATTCTATCAGAAATCATTGAGGTCCAATCATAGTTGCCGTTCATAGTACTATTGTACTCTTCTAGTACATTTCATACACAGTCTACACTAATCTAGTACAAAAACAAGAACCGGACGTGTTGCGTGCACTATTTTTTTGTCAACCATGTAGAATAACAAATCAATGAGATACATTTCCATATTATATTTGTTTGTAGAATTGTGTCACTTTTGATCCTAATAAAACAATCAACTATTTTGTATACATATGCCGCGAATAACCATCTTAGCATACCGAAAAAGAACTTATCACCATTACACCATTCTTGCAATAATTAGAAATATATATGATTGCCTTAAAGTCAATAGCTCAATTCAACTAAGGAAGACACAGCATTAGTATGTAAATGACATTAGAATATATACATCAATTTCGCGTACTGTGTCGTGAATGCGGAATACTGTCTTCGCGTGCTATTGATCGGAAAAAAATATTACAGAATTCCCCTATCTCCTTCTGCCTTCTCAAGGGTTCTTTCCGTAAGCTCCAAGCTCCAATTTCCTCAGATATTTCAATAAAAGGACCAAGTGATTCGGAAAGGAAATAATTTTGATGATGCCTTTCGAAATGTATGTAACACCATACTGCAAATTGATGCTCGGGTTCGGCTGTTAACCACAAAAACCTTGAAATTTGGAATAAGTGTTCCGGAATATTACACACTCCATATTCGATTTCGGTTACATCCCGTATATAGGTTGTTTGAGAATGGCAGCTCAGACCCATTGAAGATATCATATACAGGGTGGTCCGGTTTGTAATACAAATAAGTCAACAGTGTGCTGTACTCGTTGAAATAATAAAAAAAGTTCATATAAACATATACCTACTTTTGAACGCGTCGATTTCGAGATATAAGGTGACTTTGATGAAAAGTTCGAAGCGGTTTGAAATGACTCAACAACATTTTCGAGTAAAAAATGTGAAAACATGAATAAGATTCATGCGTAAAATAGTTCTGTTGTAGTTTTTCAATGCATTACAACGTTTTCGAATTGAACCGGATAAACGATACAAGAAATCTGAGATATTAAAAAATAATAACTGGACAAACACAATAAAACATCAATTTACCTCCACCAACCCCAGATCCAGCTGCAACTGAATTACTTTTTATAATAATAATATTTATTTCATCTTATAGAACGTAAAAAGTTTAGTATCCGTTAGAAATTTTGTTGATTGATCCCAAACCGTTGGTATTTCCAACACCCTATATCTCAAAAACGACGCGTTTTAGATTATATATATACCTATATGTAGATGAACTTTTTTATCATTTCAACGAGTACAACACGCTGTTGAATTTTTTGTATCTCAAACCGGACCACCCTGTATATATGCGATTATTGGTGAAATGAGGTGCGGCAAAAATCATATCACTCGGAGCTCTTTGAAATGATATAGATTTTATGAATGCGAAAATTTGGTCAGATTCCATATTTCCATACGCACAAAATCTATTTTTCATTTCAAACTGTGATATTTCACGAGGAATTGTTTTCCACTGTTTCGAGCGCCTCCTCGCACAAATATACAGTTTTTGTCCAAGAGCCAGCTGCAAATTTCGATCGTCATCTGATAAGGAAAAGATATATGTCCCAAAGTTAGTGGCAGAGCATCAATATTTTCGAGAATATTTCATCCCCCTCTGAATATAATATCCGATGAACCAGTGTAAAACGCAACATGTGGATTTGAATACTTGTAGTGCGACCACGACATGAGTTTCACACAGGTCCATCTGATATTATCTTCTCACGAGGGCGACATATTCTCGGGAATATTGACGCTCTGTTACTAACTTAGATCAGTCTGAGTCGCTGCACGTTTGGATATTCGCAAAACGGACATTTTTTTCTTCTATTCGCTGTTTGTTTCAATTCGTTATCACATGACGGAAGTATGTCCGGGAATAAAGCAGCAAATATATCGCTGTGCCTTGGATTCAGCTCAGACTGAGGGCTGGCACAGGTATATTTTTGAGATCAATTTGTATCTCATGGCATAATGTTTATCTTGTTATCAAATCACTAAATCAAGTGCACAGGAAACTGCAATGTTTAAATCATTTCGCTTAGGATATAGTGATTGGCACAGGTGCCGTTCGATGAACTACAATGTTTTTAAATCCCAGCAAACAATGGCCTAATATATTTTTCTCATACCTGACATCAGCGGCCCAGTAAATGGTCCCATATGCGGGACTCTATATATATATCAGTACACTGCGGCCGGCAGCTGGTCCCAGTGCTGGGTACCCAGCAATCATATTCAGTTCCCCGGCAGAAGGCCAGAGCAAGCCCAGCATATACATTAATCAACATCAATTAGCGACATTAGTTACATACATAGGGGATGGGTAGGGGTTTTAGGGGTCCAATGGATCTGAAAGTTCTAGTTCCTCTTTATTTCACAATATAACCCTCTCATCATAAATAAGACACATACCAGATTTCAAGAAAACAATTTTATGAATGACACAATGATATCTTCTTAACCTCTTCTCGGAGTGACTGCTTATTGGTTGGTATGTGGTATCTACATCTTATTGGTTAGCATTCCTTCAAAGTTGATTCTTCGTTGTGAGGTACTTCTGAAATATGAAATGCATCATTTGTTTTATATTAGTGGCCTATGAGTTGCATGAGTTCATAACTTGATAATATAATCTGATGACATGGAGCTTTTCAATTCTGATTATTTTCTTGGCACAGGTATTTCTGTAGCTGAAACCTTCTTATTTAGTTCTTTAATATAGAGATAGGTTCATATAACCTGACATAGCTGAGATTATCATAATTGAAGAATCTGTCTTCTATTATTATCAATTGAGAATACTCCTGTCATCATAAATAACCACCAGGGAAAGAGAGGACCACATTCATTCGACATAAACAAACTAGTACGCGATCACCACTCACGAGAGTCAGCCATCTCAGTCACATATAATATTGATCAGCTAATTGTTGATGTAGACGTTCCCAGATTATCAACCAAGGGGACGAATAGCGAACATGAAATTGGCCAGCAAAGGGCCAGATCTCGTTAGTATTCAATTAGTTTCAGACATCTTACCATGACAAGGCCATCATCTTTTTTTTAACTGATGGTAACTTGGAATAGGAAAATCATCGGCCCATTACCAATATCCTGGCATCGTCACTTTCCCAGACTAGCCTGCACTAGGCCGGACTTCTCCCGCTAGTTCAATGTTTGCTGGGATGCCTTTGGGATATCATTTCTGAATTTGCAGCCGTTTCTTCAACCACATGAATTTATTGAGTGTTGTAGCTGTTGAAACTTTCCTTACAAATCACAGAACTTTTCTCATGTAATGTCAATGTTGAGAAACGGCGCAAAGTTTGTGTCGAATGTGATGCAGGAGAGCGTCTCCTGCAAAAATAACAAACCGAAGCAGGAAAATATAGATGTGAAAAATAAGTTGGAAATCGAAATGTAAGCTCACCGATATAGGTAGTTCTCGAGATAGCTATCGAACAATTCGATTATATTCATCATCTCCTATGAATACTCTTTCTGCCATTTTATTTCAGCAACTTTTGAACGCCGTATAAGCTGATTTAATAGGTTATTCGCTCGGATATTCAATGGGCGTGTACACCTTAGTAGAACTTTTAACTCAAACCATGTTTATAATGATCCTTTTATACATAAATAATGATTGACGACATAATTCGATCGAAAAATTAACTGGGAATATTTTATTTTTGGGCATGAATAATAGTACCTTCTGAAAACTGACCCTCTTATGACGTAGAAACCTCATCTCGCCATAGTTAAAAGAAAATACCAAACGCCCGACGGAGACTGAGGCAACTAATATATTAATTCTTGCAACTGTGATCTCGCGCTAATTCACTCTGTCAGAAATCATGTATCATTCATCTCTGTCTGGAATAGTCTTGTTTCAGTATCAGGGTTTTGACGTCACATCATCGCCTCGTTTTCAGAGGTCCGAAAAATCCGGTATTTCATTAATTTATTATAAAACGTAGGGAGCTCACAGCAAGAAACGGTTTGCGGTGGTGAGCTAGTTTGGGTGAGTTCTATCGAATTATGAAATAATAGTTATTTATGTATTAAGGGAATTATGAGGGCCTTAATTACCGATGGCAAAGTTTGCGTCCCGAGGGCCTCTGGCCCAAGGGACAGCAATTGCCAGAGGTTATTAAGGCTCTATAATTCCCGTGATACATAGATAATTTTATTTCTGACTGATTTCATTCATTAGATACTACCTTCCCGATTGGAAGTTAGACATGTTTTTCCGTATAGTTTCAATGTCATCAGAACGTCAGATGATGATCTTGACTACCGCGAATAGGAGATTCCTTATTGCTACGTTATTGCGTGGTTGTTGCTATGCATTCCTTATTTAATTTTAGCTAGAGGGAATTATAGCATCTATAACATCCCAAGGGAGTTATGACCCTCCTAATTGATAGTGTAACTAAGATGATATAAGCTTATAATATACCAGTCAGAAATAAAAAATGTTTCGTGATATAAGCCCATTAGAATTCTCTGAGTAAGGAGCATTACTCGTATACAGGGGTGTATCTGAATGACACCAGAAAAATTCAAGGGGTGATTCCTTCTGATATTCTAGCAATTAAAGTTCATATAAACATGTGTCCTAACTTGCTCCGTTTTTGAGATACAGGATGTTGAAGTTGGAAGTATAAATTATTATTTCCATTTAT